GTAGGTGTGGCCTGCTTTCCGGGTCCACTGGTGGAACCTCTTCTAACTGGTTCGGTAGATTTGACGAACCGGTTCTACCGAATAAGTGCAAACTGGTAGCAACCCACCTCTGATGGCAAGTCACTTCAATGAACTTTGGCTGTATACGTTCTCTTCATGTGGTTTCAAATATCTGGAATTTGTTGTATTTGACTGGTAGTTGAACCTGGCTTATTTTAATAAAGCACAACTTAAGTTAACTCAATTTGCCTTTTTTCAGCTATAACAGTTAAAATACCGGAACAATGTCCTCACTGGGAAATTTTGGGTTGAAAACTTATTCACATACTGCCAAAATAACGTTTAGGGTTATAAGTGAACTTAATGAGTACATCCTATTCTACCATTTAAAATAATCAAGCCTGATTTAACTACAATTTTACCTTTAAATCCATTTTTAAGGTATGTGTAAAAAAAAAAAATCTAGCGCTGGGAGACCTTTTGAATTCTTATTTCTGTCTTTATTTCAAATAAGATTATTGCCTCAGCAAATTACATGCTCTCAGAACTGTTCCAATTAGATGAGCCGAAAAGGGAAGAAAGCAGCGAATTTCCTTTAAATGGCAACTCTGATGAAAGTTACAGTGAAGAAGAAGAAGAAATGCCCGATAGTGACGAAAATGGATTGTATAGCACCAGCTCAGATTTTCCAGATGACAGCAAAGCCGTTGCTATAATCAAATCTGTTGGAGAATTGTCGGTACCTGAAAAATACAAGTCTACTCATCAAATACGTGTAAGTTTATCTGCTGCATTTGATAGGCCACTTCAGTTAACGTTGGGATTGTATTTTATGGTCTAAATCAGAGGTGGGTTGCTCCCGGTTCGGGAGCAACCAGTGGAATTCAGGCCTGGGCCGCAGAACCGGCAGCGACCCCGGCCTGCCACGCCCCAAAACTGGTTCCTGTGCCGCCGCCATTTTGGTTTTTAGTGACTGCGTGTGCGCAGTTCACGGTAAACTGTTCTGTGCATGCATGAAGAAC